CCTCACGCCCGAGATAGCAAAATTGAATTTTGTCTGTATGACTAAGAAGCCCTGAGCCACCTTTAATAGAAAAGTACAGCTTTAACCTTGGCGCATGGAGAGGATATTTGCAATAGACCCCCACACTGACTTCGTTTGGGAAGACTGAGGGGTCACCACAGTGCTCCCAGGGCTGCAGATGGGTGGAGCTGGAGCAGACACTGCTCTGACCTCTCCTGCAGGTTGGCTACACAGAGCTGCTGTGCACCAGCACCATGGGCAGGGATGGAAGTGCAGCCCTTTCACTAATCTCCATGTATTTTGAGGACCTGGGATTCATCCTGCCATTATGGGTGCCTGAAGTATGGACATAGCACCAATCTTTCATCACCTGGCCAGTTTATGAGTGCTTAACTCACCCTCCAGCCTATCCTCTCAGTACTAAGTCTGTAGGAATTCAGGCTTTTTCAGCTGATACAGTTTAGTGAGCTCAGGGCATGACCCTAAAAAGGAACAGGAAGAAACCCCTAAGCTGTGTGAAGCAAAAATTAAACATAAGAGGATTTTAAATGCGGGGGGGGAAATGTCATTAGGCACAGGTAATTTGACACTGTGGATCAGAAGATGTTGAGAATGTTTAATGAGCAAGTGCTGAGACAATAAGAACTGTTGAACTGACTAACCTGCTGGTTTCAGTAGGATGACATTCAAGCACACAAAAGTGAAAATCAGTAAAGAAAATGTCTTGCATGTTTCTCATTGGCTGTCAGAGTGTTGTTAACTTCTGACTACAGTTATTAGCTTCAGTTTTGCTAGAGGGTACCAATCAGGAACATAGTATTATGGTGTAACAAGTGATGTCTTAAAATGTTCTTACAAAGTCTTTATTAAGATTGAAAGTAATTGAAGCCCAGTTCAAAGAGCCATAACTTTTTCTGTAATTTAGGTGAGATTCAACCACATAAAAGTAAAGAATCTAAATTTGAAGTGCAAAAATTACAGCTCATAGATTTTAGTCAGGATATCACCTTAGGCTAGTCCCTGGGAAATGTGTTTCTCAATAGGGGCTGCACATCACTGCACACCACTCTCTAGGAATGCAGTTTTATTTTGGTTCTTTTCCCCCTTGCAGTTGCCACATAGCTTTTCTAGTGTGGATGCTACATGTACTGAAATCCATTTTAAAGTCTACGGATATTGTTACAGAGTTTATAAGGTCCAGGCTAACACCTTTCACAAAGCATTATTAAGTTTCTCTCTCTTGTATATTCTGAGGAGCACAGGGCAACAGGGCAAGGGAAGGATAATTTGAGACTCTGGTAAGTGTGTTTTCAAAGGTGGTCAGTCCGATGGATTGTACGAATTGAAAAAACAAACAAAACCAGGAGTGAGAACTGGAAGAATGGAGACAGTGCAATTTCCTTCAAAGACTTGCTGAAGTTACTACCTCTATCTTTAAAAATGAATCAAGGACTATTCAAGTCTCCTGATGTCAGTTACTTTCCTTTCATTAACTGCACTACCACAAAATAACATGACAAGCAGTCCAGTAGCAATCTGCCATCTGTCCTCTCAGATCTTGACTGCAGTTATGGATAGAGATGACCAAAGCAGCCTCCACTCATCTCCCAGTGTGCCAAGGAAACCTAACTCGCCATTGGCAGGGCTACTTGGCCAGTACTGTCTGAATAGCAAGTAACTTAAAGCAGCTGGTATGGAGGAAAACCACACCAATCCCAACAATGTGATACAGTGCCTGGTCTCATTCTCTGTTGGGAAGATTCTCCAATATCTCAGATTATACTGTGAAGCCATTTTTCTTTCCTCCTTTATAGCAGAAAGGGTTCGTAACAGGAGCTTCCTTGTTTTTGTGTTCAAACACAAAGTGTTCTGTAAGTGTTCACAAAATGAAGAGACAAAAACTGGTGAAGTTCTTTGAAGCATTTCAAGCCCACCCATCATTTTACGAGGAGGCACTGCACAACTCTGTTGAAAAGAGTGTTAATGTAGTTTGCTGTGAAGCATTTAAAACAGTGCCCAAAAAACTCTCCTAAGCAGGAAGAAACCCTGCAGAATGTCTCCTGCCCCATCTTTTACCAGCTTCACTTGGGCCACAGAGAGTGACAAACCCTCTAAAATCAGAACCTTTCCTCTAGTGGTGGATGAGTCAATCCAGTAATGATTAACATATTGGAAATTGCTTGTTCCAACAAACAGTATTAAAAACTCAAAACACTGCTATAAACCAAGCCTCAGCAGGCAGTAAAATTTTTACATCTGAGGAGCAATGGTAGGATTTATGATTCAAACACTGATGGAACCTTAAATATAGTGATCCAAGTGGAAATGACTTAGTTCTTATGTAACCCTCTTTCATGTTCTAAATGCTTCGAATAACAGAAAGAAATACCATGAAAACAGCATGGGCCATCTTCACTCAGGGCTTGTCTTCACAGTACAAGTCACATTTGAGTCAGTGCTTGCCCAGAACAGGCTCTTTGAGCTAGGTTTGAGTAAAAGATCACACTTCAGAATAACTCTTGGCTTTCAGAATATGCTTGCGGAGTGTCCTGCATGCCAACCTGCAAAGGCTCTGCCATGTGCCTGGCAGTGGCAGGCAGCTGAATCATGCTGCCAGCAGCACGGCTGCTTTGAAAGTCTGCTGTCCCCCTCAGCTCTGCTACTTTGAGTGCTCAGTGGCAGCTCTCTGACCTGGGCCTGTGATGTGCACTGATGGTAGAGTTCCTTCCTGCCACTCCTAACATAGTTCCCATGCCTGTGCTGTGGGCTCAGGCCCTCCCAGCAGATCCCCACGGCACAGCATCAGCTCAAGCACCAGCAACACTCCTGCTTCAGTACAATCCCTTTCTGGCTGCTGAAAAGGACTTTTTGAAACATCACTAATTTAAAGCTGGGGCCATTCATGTGTAGAAAGAGATCACACTGGGAATTTAACTCAGGATTTAACCATGCCATTCAGCTAATAGTTCTGAAACAGGCTTCCTGCAACCTAATGGATTCTGAATTGCTCTGCACCTCTGAGTAGCCAGTTATATCTGTGCAGAGAAACCACCCAGCAGTGGTGCTCTCAGCTTTGCTCAGGTGCTGAGCCAGGACACTGCATTATAGGAACTTGTCATATTCACCTGGGACAGCGCACAGAGCTTTCAGAAAATGTTACTGAACTTTGGAGGACAAGTTATTATTGGCAGTATTTCTATCTCATGTAAAATTGCATATGATGAATGGAAACATGTAGATTTTACACACCCTGAACAGGCAACCCTTCTCAATAGACTTTACTTCTGGTGATATGAATGATCTCTTAAAGATTGTTTCTTCATTCATAAATTAAAGATCCCATACAAATTAGTTTTGTAGTGCTCTAGCACTATAAGGAGGCTGAGAGAGGTTCCAAATTAATGTTTGTGGGGCTAGAGAGTAACAGCTACTAGTGCAAGTTAATTACTGCTTCGCCTGGCTGACATCTTCAGCAATGCCTTCACCATGCAGATTCAGTGGAGCTTAATGATGGATTTCTGAAACCAAATGGTTAGAGACCTGTTTCCCCACTATGCCATTTAAAAGAGTTGCCCACTTGAGGTAGTTTTGGAAAAGGTTCATGGAGGTGATGAAGCAGAAAACAGAGAGGAAAAGTGCTGAATGACTAGCTGTGGTCTGTGATTATTTATAGTTTTTATGCTTTTTGTTTTAAAGCCAGGTAGGAGTGTGCATGATGGTAGAATTGCCATCTTTATTTAAAATCTTTCTATTTCTATGTTGTACATTTAGTTGTGATTATACACAGTCTAGTAACACTTTCAAACATTTACTGATGCTGCTCCTCAAAAGGTTTCTCTTACTTTAAAAATGCCATTGTCCCTTGCAGGGTATTTAATTTTACATGCTGTGTAACTTCCTACCAACGTGCTAATCTAAAATGGTTGCAATGAAAGGTCTTTCAGGAGTGCTTTTTGGTTAGTAGTTCACAGACGAAAAACAGAAGAGGAAAATTTACCTTTAGTAAAGTGTGTTATTTAAAAGGGTTTTTTAATTGTATGAAATGTGATTACACATTTTTGGCCATTTTTTGGCATTTAGGAATGACATTTAAGTTCAAGAGTGACAGATTTAAGTTCAGAGGTCTAGACATATGAACAACCCTGGCAGTTGAGGCTGTACAGGTGACTGAATTTCCTATGACACTTCCTCAGACTGTAAATGGAGCTTTGACTGGTTCTGGGACAGGGATTGTGTGCTCAGATTGGAAAATGTGGGATACTGACTGCATATATAGTATATTCCATTAGCTTCACACAACCCAGGTGGATGCTGATATGGTACCTCCACAGAAAAAGGTCACTGATATTTTCCTGTGTCTGAGCAGTGAAGAATTAAAGTCTACAACTTCAGCATTAAGATGCCTGCTGTGTCACCTGAACTTCCATCAGTCACAGGAGTGCAGAGGAAAGGCTTTCAAAGAATAAGAACACTCTGCCCTGACAACAGCTGTCTGGTAAAGCTGATGCAGCACTTTTTGTATAGTTCCAGTGACACAAGTGGTGCCACTTGCCTGTTAAGAAGCTCCTCAGAATGGCCCCAACACCCCTCATCTGAGCTTAGCCACACTTTGCTCATTTTCTACTGCCTGCTTATGTCTGGTGGAAAAGGTTAATTAGTGAGAGGGCTGCTCCTAAGAAAGGTGGTACAGGCAGCCCCTGCTGTAGTCTGCCTTGCCTTTGGAGACTGTCTATTAAAGAAGGAGTCCCAGGGAAGAATCTGGCAGAAGGATACCCCCAAGAAACAGTTTGACTGATTGTTTTAATATGAAATTGAAATGAAGAAGTTCCTGGGAAAACTTTCATTCCAATAAGTGAGTGGCAGTGACTCCCATTGCTTTGAAAATACTTTAGCACAACTGGTTATTTTGTAATATTCAAATGTATTTAATGGTATTATTTTATCTGTATGGTACTAAACTGTGGTTTGTTTTTTCTTCTTCCTCTCCTCCTTCCCTCCAGGATGAAAAGAATCAAGTATTAACAACAAATATTTGGCTACAAATGGTAAGTTTTTAAACAAAGTATGTTTGTTTTCCCCCTTCAGTTGTAGAGTTTAATCTGGTGAGGGGTTTGAATTTTAGAAAACTTTCAGGTCTGTAGAGACAATATGAGTTGACTCCTAATTCCATGTCAGATTTTTTTTGCTACCACTAGATACCACAGCAGAGAACTTTGTGCTTATTAACTCATGACCAGCATTGCTGGGCAGGAGTCAATTTTTATTCACCTTTTAATAAATGGAAGAGATACTAGACAATGCAAGAACTTTGTCAGAGAATTTTGGAATTGTTTTTTCTGAAAGGTTACATTATGACTCAGAATTAACAAGGTGCTTCTTAGCATGCTGACTCCTGTGGAGTCCTAATGCATCCACAAACATTTCTACCGTAAGTTTGTCTTAAGCTCTGCACAGAGGGTGATGTGGAGTTTTCTCCATCTATAGCAGCATGGATGAGAATTTGCCATTCCCACCAGTACTACAGAAACAAAACTGTTTGGGTTAGGTAAAGGAAGTCACAAAAGATTTCTATTATTCCAGACAATCACGTGGCTTTTGCAGAAACTTTACACCTTTCAGTTTCTTTTACCAGCTCATTCCGTTTAAAGGCATTATTTTTTATTTTATTGTAGCATTTTAAATAGACCACCTCACCTGCCCTGGGGCAGGCCTTGGGAAACAAAGGAAAGACTATTCTGATGACCTGTAAGAATAGCAAGGCTATTTCATATATTCACAAAGAAAATCTGACATGGAAGAAGCACTCATGCTTTTTTACAGGCATGTTGTACAGCAAGATTAAAACTGTCAAATATAATAAGTTTTTGGCTTTTAGCTAAAAAGACCATAGTTCCTCTGATTTCTTACCAGTAAAAGAGCCAACAATTCATACTCAAGAGGCTTTAATTTCTTTTCCTTCTCTTTTATCTCACAGCATCCTTATCCTTTTTGAGTTTGTTTTTTTCCCCCTCAGGAATTTTTTGATTGTATTATACATTCTGTATTTCTTTTGATTTATTCACCTTAGCACATACTGGATATGAAGCACCTCAAGACTGCAATGAACAGATCACTTGGTTACTACCAAAAAATGTAGCCACTCCTCATGGCTTGTGTACACATAAAAATAAAAGTGTTTGCATATTAACTGTCTATTAATGGTGTTCTGACAGATTCAAAGCAAAGCTTAAGGCAAACACATGCCATTCTATTATTCTAAATGATCTGAAGTAAATTTTTTCCTGAAATCCCTCTCTGTTGCATTCTGTGATACATGTGTGTATAATCAGCAATGTATCTTAAATGTATTTTATGTAATTATAATACAAAGAATAACTTGAGAGAAAGGGGAATATAAATCTAGTATTCATACATGCAGACTATTTAATCCAACTACTATCTCCATGGCAATACTGTTCAGCATCAAAAATCTAAAACTTGATTTAAGGTATAGCAGGAGCCTTGCTTAATCCCACAGGTTGGTAATAACCAAAGGACCCTGAGCTCTTTGCTATTTTGATCCAAATTAAATGTGCTTCAGCTCCTTTAACGGTATCTCTAAAGTTAAAGCAAAATGAAGCAGATCATGCCCTGCTGGATGGGTGAGCACTTTGTACACAGGGCTGACAGAGCAACCATAAAATCTGTTTCACATTATCTCTAAAGCAGCCTTGACTATTAAGTTTTCTGTTGCCCTTGGACTGCCTTTACCTCACTCAGCATCACCCTGCGCTGCAGTGTCGTGGCCATGGTAACTCCTAACGTAAGCTGGGCTAGGAAATGATTGGATATGTTGATATCCAGGATGCCTTCAGCTGGCAGTGAGTGCAGCCTGCCAGTCCTGGCCCTGCCACCACGAGTGTGAGTGACCTGCTCTGGCAGCTCCTGAGGATGTGTCACCCAAAGTCACGAGAGCCACGGCTTTCAGTGCCTTAAACCCACACAGCTTATTTGCTTGCATTGCTGGCCTTTGGAAAAAACAGATGTATCCTGGCATCTCAGGACTTCTACATTACACAGAGATGAAGTGGTAAAAAAATTACAGTGACATTTGTCAACCAAGAAGTTCATGTAAAACAGTTTACTGGGAAAAGGCATGTAAAACTTCTGAAAAAGTATGAGAAGTGGTTGATCAGCTTACAGAAGCTGTGTATAGATGGCTGTGAGCAACATGTGGATCTTAACTAGAGAACTGTGAAACCAAGAACTATGAACAGAGCCTAGTAATTGAAGATTTCCATAAAAAACTATTATCTGTAAAACTAAAGGAAAAAACAGTGCATGACTCAGATCTTTTGTCCAGTTTTGCTACAAACTCATTGTAAAAAATAAATGAGATAAATATAGAAGCACAGGCCAAGAATAAATATAGTAAACACTTCACAAAAGCTGCATGATGCATGCTATTAGTTGTGTTGAATGCATCAAAATGGTCATTTATGTGTTTGTAAAAGTACAAGAATGTATTTGATTACCTGCAGCAAGAGGCTAAGTGAGAACTTGGTGTATCAAATCAAAACTTGCCTGTGACAGTAATACAAGGAATTCCATAGACCAGTTTGATGTGAATACCCCATGAGAATGACCAATAACATTTACCTCCACAATACCCACTGGCAATTTTTCCGGACCTTAATGTCTATCAAACATTTTGACAAGGACCACTAGACTGAAGGTGTAAGTGTTGTACATTTACTCACCCATTTATAAGTTTACATGTAAGAAATTAACATTAGGCATTGCAACAGCTTGGTAAATCTGGACAAGTCCTCCCTGTAAAGTTACATGATGCCTACAGCCAAGTGAAGTTAATATAAACAACATAATAATGGAGATACACAGAAGTGCATACTGAAGCACAGACAGAGAAAATTTGGTAAATTTTGTAAAATGAATTGAACTTTTTTATTCCTTATACCCTTGGTGCTCAACAGAAATCACCCTAGTATCATGACAAGTCATTTGCATAGTAAGGGGTGATGTACAACCTCAATTTTAGGAAAATACAGCTCATGCTACTGTTTCCCTGGGGTGCAGGAGGCAAGCAGCTTGCTGGGGCTGCCACAGTGCTCAGCTGGCTGCAGGCTGGGGCTCTGCTCTTGTTTATGGCTGTGCTGCACCATATGTTTCAATGACAGAGTGTGGGAGTTAGCAGTGCAGAGCTCAGATCAAAGCCCTGCTGGTGCAACTGTGCCAGCCTGCCTGTGCCAGCCTGCCCATGCCAGCAGCCAGGCCTGGGCTGAGAGAAGCACAGGCAGCCCCAGGGCAGCTGCCTCCAGTGCAGGAAGTGCCAGCCAGGGAGGAAACTTGTGGGACTGAGCAGTGCTATGGAGCAGCTGCCTCAGAGTTTGCCCAAAGCTAGGCCCCAGGATTTGCCAAGACCTTCTGCTGGCATTATCCTTGTGCCATCACAGTCATCTTCTGTCAGCAGTGAATGCTGGCTGCTCTACCCCATGCCTATTAGCAAGGTACTGCATCCTGAGAATTTCCAACCACAGCAAACAAAGTTGTCTATGAAGATAAAGATAATGGAAGTTACTGCATCAATTATAAAAGCAGTTCAATCCCAAACTGGCACCTGAGACAGTGTGAACAACCAACCACAAGCACCCCAAATCTCTTCTAGGCTGTTATGTGCACTGCAGTGTGAATGGAAAATGAGGGGTTATGAGCTCCACTGTGCTCTAGGTGGCCTAATTCACTCTTTCCAAACCTTTCAGTCCCTGAAGCTAAACAAGAGAACACCTATTGTTTCAGCCCATCCAGTCCCTAGAGCACTACAGTGAACCAGTGGATGAGATGACCTAACTTACTTTTTGTGTGTATGGCTTAGTACTGGACAGATCATTATCTACAGTGGAATGTGTCTGAATACCCGGGAGTGAAGAATGTCCGTTTTCCTGATGGACTGATTTGGAAGCCCGATATTCTTCTCTATAACAGGTAGACACACTTTTCTTTGTGTGTGTGTGGGGGATGGAGGGAAGATCATAGAATAAGCGACTTGTAAAATATCCCTTGAAAGCTCGACTGCTCCAGCCTTTCCTGGGAAAGGGAGTCTACATGAAGTTTTCTAGCACGCTGTCCAAACACAATGATAAGGCAAGGTAAATGACATAATAATCTCATCAAAATGCCTAGATTTTAAAATAATTTTCCAAAATTTTCTAGGTGTTTGGAATACTGGAAAATTACCAGTCTCCTGTTCACAGAGGAGAAGGACATATTTGCAAACACTTTGTGAATAACAATATTGTCTCTACTACCATTCTAGCTAATTAGTAGCTTTTATGAGATGGTGTTTAATGGTACGGATAATGATAATTTTCTCTGAATTTTTTTGGTCTAAATGGTTACTGGTGAATTCAAATATGATGTTCGCCTGCTTGTTAGGGATTAGTTTGGCTTTCACTATGGACAGGAGAGGTAATTGCCAGGAAGGATCTTTGCATTTTTCCACGTCCAGTTTTAGTGTTATTCTTTCCTCCTGTTACAAAAATAGCTGAGATATTTGCTGCTCTCCTCGTCAAACTGTTTTGAGTTGGGCCTATTTCAGGGACAGACAGATTGCCATCAATCCACTGCAGAACCTTTGGCTGACATTGAGAGATTCTTTGGCTGTACTGTTACATGGTAGTTCCCATTCTGGAATTTATTTAGTTCAGAAAATAAAACACTGAGAGCTGCCTGTTTTATAAAAAGTTGCCTTTTGCTGTAGTTGTTGTGGGCTTGTGTGCTGTTGCCCAGGTACTGGAAAGAACTTCCATCTGCTCTGTACAGGGAGCATGGCTCTGCTGTGGTAGCCAGGGTACATTGTTTTGCTGCCTGTGCAGATGACATGAACCCTTTGTCTTCCTGATGGTGTTCTTTCCTTTGTTTTCTCTGCTCTGTGTCTCTTAAGAACACACCCTGTTGTGCTTATCAACCTGACCCCCCTTCCCACTTCAGGAGCTGCTTTTGTTGCAACAAGTCCTAAAGAATGGCTGTTCCCAATGTCAGCTGCAGTTTTTCTCCCATTTGCCTTTTGGTGAGCACCCTTATGTTCAGTGTTGCAGTCACAGGTGCTGTTGCATTGTAATAATGGAATAACAGCACCAGTGGCAGCCTCTCTCAGGCACTGGGTACTTCTCTAGGGCCTGCATTGTGCTGTCCCAGAGGTACAGCTAACACTGAGTGATCTCTAGCTACCTTGATTCCATAAATGACAGTGTTCTTGGGAGAATCTGACAAATGACACCTTCATTTCCATTGTCCTGATGAATGACATGCTGTGTATACCATAAAATTGTTACTCTACAACAGCAATTTAGTGATTTCAAAAAAAAATGAGTTATGACAATATTCTTCCTCATATATATCACATACCTGAGAGAGACTTGCAATGTGCCTGATGATTTAGGATTCAGTATTTAAGTATATCCAAAAGGAAAGGGTAATAGTTTAGGAATTAGTCATATTAATATATGCATGCTAACTGTAGCTGGAGTGGTTTATAGAATGAGAAGGGTCACAATAACCTGGAAAACTGAAACCACAATTTTTCTGTTAATACAGGTTTTCAGATCTTCAGATTGTTAACTATGACTCAGTCATGAAATAATTATTCTACAGTTTCTCTATTACAAACACATATTTAACCAGAAATCTTATGCAGAGTTTAGTCAGAGAGCAAAGCTATTTAAAATAAATTCTTATTCCTGTTTGAAACTACACTGGGAATATTATGATGTTCCCTTCTAGTGACATGCCATTTTGAGATCGATGCTTTCAATTTCTATGCTTCACTAGGGACATGCATCTGCAGTTACACAGAAATTAATGAACTATAAATTCACTTTCCATTCTAATGAATGCATGTTTCACTATGTCTTGAGTTCTTACACATCTTGCTACAGCCTAGTACAGAGAAACTGTGGCAGCTGTATTAAATTTTACATCCAGTCTGTTGTAGGGAGAGCAGGGCCAGTTTATTTATAGTTTTTCTGAGGAAAGAAAATCTAGGCCTTAGTCCACATGACACTAACACAGTCAGTTCTGGAATGTGTAGTCTTCCACTTTTAACTACGCTTATTAAAAGTATTCATTTCTGGTGGAATTATTTTCCAAATGGCCACATAGTGTTCAGTGTTGTTATTCTACTTTGTGGAATAACAAAAATTCTGGAAAGTACATCTCGTTGTAAGAGTTTCATTTTTCCAGTCTTATAAACATGAGGTTAGGTTCCAGTGGGATTCTATCTGCCAGGTCCAGCTTTGTCACCTCAATGTCCTGTAATCAATATCTGCTTTCAAGTGGTTATACCCTGAAGAGGAAATGTAGCAGAAATTATTTTCTATCATTACATTAAATTTCAGTCCAGTCTCTTCAAGCTACTTTGTGCATTCTCAATAGAAGCAGTGCATTTCAAAAATGATTAGAAGCATAGCATGGAAAAACACACACTTCTTTTTCAGAAAAAAATAATTCCATATTTAAATCTGACTACCACTGGATATTCTTTTAAGAATGTGTCTATAAAAGGCAAAGTCATGTGGCAATGAAATCAAGGTTTCTTGATCATTTGTGTTCTTGTGAAAATTCTGTTTTTGCCAATTACCAGAAACAGCAGCAAGGTCTTAGAATCAGCTCCCTGGTGTTTAACTACCCTCCACTCCAGAGGAAGAGAACAGAATCTAGCCCAGGAGTCATTAATTCCCACTTAACAAGTGATTTGTACGGCACTAATAATTTGACATGCTAAATTTGACTATTTATTTGAATTCCATCATCTAACCCTTATTAATTTGAAGTCAAAGCAATTATTTGTCTAATACAGAACCTTGTTGGAGGACTTTAGGTCTGGTTTTCTAAGGAAATGAGATCCATGCACCTGTGTGCATGCACACCTGGGTGAATGCGTGTGTGATCTTGCTGCCCCTCTCCCCAGTATCCTCTATCAAATTTGGCAATGCAATCAGTAGAGATTTTTGCAGCACCAGTTTCTTACAAATATCATGAAAACAGGCAGCCAAGATGTGGAAAGAGAAGAATTAGAGCTCCAGCTGGAAGAGGAGCTGCAACACAAACTGGGAGAATCCAGCCATGAGCTGTGGAGCTGAAGGAGTGGCTTACACTGCTCAGTGAACTTAGAACTGAGTGCCTTTGCCCCTCAGTGTGCTAGAATCAGCATCAAACACACACAATGCTGACACTTCTCTGCTTCTCTTCAAAGTTCAGATTAAATACTCGCAAGTATTTTCAATACTTGTGAGCCTTCTGCTCACCACAGGAAAAAGTGAAACTCCAGATGGGCAAGTAATTATTTGGATTTTGCTTTTTTTTTTTGTCTGCAAATTTCACAAACCAGCCCAGATATTTTTTAAAACCTAAGTTCCTCAAGTACATAAGGGGAAAATAAAATGCAAATTTAAAAAGTCTAAAATAACAGTTGCTTTATTTTAGCTTCTGAGACACAAAATTTGCATCAGACTAGATGCATCAAATATTAAATTCCTCTTTTCAAAAAAAGAATATTTCAATAAGGGTTTTCCTGCTAAGAAACACCTTTTAATAAACTTAATTTTCTGCTAGCGTTATGAATATTTCACTTTATGACCATCTCAGATTTTTGCTCTGTTTTTCTGATGTTGCCCTAAAAGGTGATTAGAAAATTATGAGATACTAAACCACTAATAGGCAAAGAGACATTAGAGACTTGTAGTGTTCCAATCAATCTGGAGATGCACAGGTTTTGAAAGTCCAGATGGCTGCAAGTATCCAGACCCTGAGGCTTGTGTGGCTCCTCTGCCCTGCCCAGTACAGCTGGCTTTGCACATGCCTCATGTGCCATGCCACCCCAAAAGGTGACAGGCTGGAGACCACAACAGTACAACCAATTGTAGCCTGTGTCTCATTGTGTTTCCCATATAGAAGTCCTTAAAATGTTAATGCCTGGAAAATTCCTGGGACATAGTGCCAGACAGAATTGAGATATTCCTTGGCAGTAGATGCAAATTCGTAATTTGGAGCACTCTCCAAATGACATTATGATTCTTTTTCTAGAGACTTGTAAGGACAGCACACCAGGGCAGCACTGGCCACACCACTACACTGACACCTCAAATAGGGCTGCTTTTTTTCCTGCCTGAACGCAGTTTCTGGGTTCTGAGGTAGATAATGAAGACTGGAGCTGCATTAAAGGGTTGCATGTATGAAATGTTGTAATAATGCTCACCCATACAAAGAGGTGGGAAGACACAGACACTGGAGTATCCATCTTCTCAGTATCCATTAGAGGCTGTTAACGTAGACAGCAAGAGGACAGATTTCCCTCTACAGTTGCTTAAGAAGTTTTTAAAAAGTGCTTACTTTCCAAAAGGAAATCAATAAAGCCAAGGCACTATAATGAATCTAATGGGCAGGCAGGTGAGGGGCAAGAATGAGGTGGCTAACCTTCCCCTACAGTTCTCAATCAGCAGCAAACCCAGAAGTATCAGGCCAGTTACTCTGAGGCCACAGAAGACTGATGGCAGGAAAAAAGCTGTCAAGTTTTGGAGGTGACATAGTCCTTTTATGAGAATACATTTGTTTCAGACATTCTTCAGCCAGTCAAAGAGTAAATAACCCATTTTGTTTTTCCCCTGTTCTAGTGCTGATGAAAGATTTGATGCTACTTTTCACACTAATGTTTTAGTCAATTCTTCAGGACATTGCCAATACCTGCCACCAGGTAGGTTGTCTGCACATCATAAATTTTGGTAGATTACTTGTATATGGTGTGGTTTCAAATTTGCCATAAATTCTCTTACATTTTATTTGTTTAGCTAGCATCATCTGATAGATGTAAGCCTACATGCATTATGGTTACATGGTTAACACCTTTGCATGAAAACTGTCATACATGATACATGTTTTATTACAATTATGCAAATTTTTCTGTCATAATGCACAATTTCAGAAGTTTGGCAATCTTTACCATAAAAAGATGTTGTTTATTAAAGTAATGGTAATGCCTCAATTTTTTATTTAATTATTTTAGTGTTTCTTTTATTAATATGTTAACTTTACAGTAAGATGCTTAGTAACATCTTGGATGTATTTCTATTTGAAATGATTCAATGAACGCTTCATCAAAACAATTTTTGGTCTGGATGTACAGCAGTGGAGCACTGTTTCTCTTCCCCAACTCAATTAGCATAATCATTAGAATTAACTCTTCCTAGCATCTGAATTTTGCAAATTACAGCACTAGAGCCAATGCTTTCCAGACAAATTAGGTTTTCTGCCTAAGAAGTCCAGAGGGTTTCAGGGGTTTGCTTCTTGATTTAAGATGCTCTCTTAAGATATTCCATTTGGTGGGGGGTTTTTCAGTTCAGTTCTGAAAGCTGCTGAAGGACATAGTCTGACTTAACAAGTGAAAAAGAAGCAGCTCACTTTCCTCAGTAAATCAATATCATATAAGTCTAATAAAACAGCAAATAAATATTTCAGAATTTCTTAAGTTTCAAGATTTCCTACTTTAGTCAGTAAAAGAAATAGAAACAGATTACATATTCTGCTTCATTTTTTTCCTGAAATACTGTATCTAGAAATCTGAGTTCTTATCTGAATATTCTTCCACTATGTGCCAAAATGGAAGAATACCTTTAAAAAACAGTAAATAACATCAATGCATTAATGGTACAGTTCTTTCCCTTCTCTATGACTGACTTTTGCTCTTTACATGTCAAGATAGGACTGAGATTAAAGATGCTTTATAAATGAAAAACAGAAGGCACAAGTTCTGGCTACAAAATATACATGAAATTCTGTGGAACAAGCATTTAAATTTAGTGCTCTTGTTTAAAATCTCACCTAGGCATATTTAAGAGCTCATGCTACATAGACGTGCGCTGGTTTCCATTTGATGTTCAGAAATGTAACCTGAAGTTTGGATCCTGGACTTATGGAGGCTGGTCCTTGGACTTACAAATGCAAGAAGCAGATATATCTGGCTATATTTCAAATGGAGAATGGGATTTAGTAGGTAAGCCCTGCATTCCCTATTTACACTGTGAACTTGCAGCCTTGTCTCCACTGCTGAAAGGGATGGAGTAACAATTGGGAAATGAAGACAGAAATTAAAGTAATAAATGACCTAGACAGTAGCAATTGAAACTCTTGAGAACAGATCTCAGATGCAAATCAACATAAAAAAGGAGATAAATTTGCTGCTTGAGTTCTGTATCTTTTATCTGATTTTCCTTTATCAGCTGAGAAAAAGTGGGAATTAAGCTTAACTAGTTTTACCTGTAGCAAAACTTGGAAAACTAAATTTATCCTTTTAAAAAATAAACACTATACAATATACAGTTTATTCACACCCAATTCTGGTTTTCTTCCTCTTTTCTCCTACACAGGAGTTCCTGGGAAGAGAACTGAGAGCTTTTATGAATGTTGTAAAGAACCCTACCCAGATGTAACCTTCACAGTTACCATGAGACGCAGGACTCTCTATTATGGACTCAATCTCCTCATTCCTTGTGTCCTGATATCAGCACTTGCCCTGTTGGTTTTCCTGCTTCCAGCAGACTCGGGAGAAAAAATCTCACTAGGTAAAGTACTAATAGGATATTGTAAATATGACTAAGACAAAAGAGGTTGTCCTTTTAAAGTTTCCTTTTAAACAGTCTTAGGAAGGAGGAATAGTTTATGTGTTCTGGCTCAGGAGCTGTTTTTAGTGTTTGATGCTGAACCAGCAGAGGCATAAACGATTCCCGAGTACCTTCCTTAAGAAGCAGGCTTTCATTTTTTGACATTTATTTGCTGAATCTCACACTCATTAGGTAAAGCATAAGTTTACAAATACATGTTTGAACACTTTAGTACTGAATTCTTATTAATACTTCCTTTTAATATTGAATTGCATTAAGAACCTATGGTGTCTTCTCAGAAAGATTGATTCTAATTGCTCCTATTTTACTTTTTATAGTGAATTTTAACTTAAGCAATGGTTTGTGAAACAAATCTGATTTTGAGTACTTGATCTTTACGATGGAGTTAACTATGTAAAGAAACCTTTTGTCCCATACAAAATTCAAATTAACTGACTTCTACTAAGTAAACATTGCTGTTTAAATGCAGAAAAATTGACATTTCTCCAGAATATGGTTTAATTGGGGGGTAATAGCCTCCTTAATTAAGTTCTCCCTCACCATATTTTAAGATGAATTCTTTGTTCCTTTATCCTTTCCCACTTGACAATGACTTGTTATTGTTTAAGTCTAGTTCTGAGAAAAGAGTTAAGTCTTTTTCCAGGAAGATGGGAACTCATCACTGAGCAACAGAAGTCGAACTCCAAAAATCAACAGTCAAGACTGCTTGGGCATAATCCCCTGCAGAACCCAGCACTAATATCAAAGGATACCAAAGTCCAGCCAAGGCAGCAAATCTGCTTTTGAGGAAATTTATGTATTACACCACCTGTAGCTTCCATGACAATTAACCAAGTGTCACATGTTCAAATACTCAGATTCACACCATGTTTCTAAAGCTAATGCAGTGCAAAAATTGCTTTGATTTGCCTCAGCTAATTAGCAAATGATGATAAAAGTTGAATCATTACAAGGAATGTAAAAATATTCATGTCTGTGCAAGCATTTGTAGGGGTTTGGCAGCACTGCTACCCTGAACTTGAGGCAGTACAAGGAAGGACAGCACTAACATGCTGGAGCAGGGTTACAGTGGGATTGCTTCTTGCAGAGAGCATTCCTTCAGATTCGTTTTGTTTCTCTTCTGTTGTAATTACAAGCTACTGATATGATTTCATACTTCATGTTTATCTTTCAGGTATAACAGTCTTATTGTCTCTCACTGTCTTCATGCTGCTTGTGGCTGAAATTATGCCAGCAACCTCTGACTCTGTGCCCTTAATTGGTAAGCTTTTAGTCAGTAGGATTTTTTTAGCAAACAAGGTACAGTGGCTTTGCACAAAGGCCAGCATTAAGGCAAATCACCAGCTGTAAAATGGATGACTGCAACTGAATTAGAAAAACATTGCCAATTGGTAAGATGGGTGCTCTCTGCTCTGAATGAAATAAACAACCTATGTGTATTTAGGGAAAGAATAAAAGAATCAATTTTCCATGGAAGAATTTGTTGCAGTTTTGACACAATTGGCCCAATTGTGTTCTGTATTCCTAATTCCAATTAGGAAATTGGAACACATGAGCTAAACATAATTAAGTCTTCCCACTGTAATTGTTCAAAAAAAAAGAGAAACTTTTCAAAACAAGTACCAGTCAGTAAATACAATAATGCTGAAATAAAATTAGAAGGCAGCCTGTGTCAAGGTTTCTTAAAAAAGGCAGGTGTTCAGCTCCACAAAAACAACAGTTAAACACTGGCTATCCCCTCAAAATAATGTCCAATATTTCTGCTGTTGAGAACTCTTTCAAAAGTACCCAGAGTAGCACTAAACTGGAAAAATAACTAAATGCTATGACAGCATATATAAACAGCTTTATAAACATATATAAAGCTATATCAGCCAAAGTATGTTCCTGCATTTATTTCTTTATTTTGCAGCTCAATATTTTGCCAGCACTATGATTATTGTTGGTCTTTCTGTTGTTGTCACTGTTATTGTTCTACAATACCACCATCATGATCCAGATGGAGGAAAAATGCCTAAATGGGTAAGGTTTGATTTTCCTTCACTGTCCATTGCATAAATGTCCAGCTCAGGGATGTAATAGAATAGCTAGTGGCCCATTATTACATCCTACTGTTAAAAACATATAAATCCTTCCCAGACATTGTGTTTGGAAAAGCAGTTTCACCAGAAATGAGGTGTCCAGATATGTTCCATGTGGTTGGTTTCTGAGAAAAATTTTTGTGCAAGAGAGAATGAATATACCTCCACTAAATTCTCATGTCCTTCAAAACTGCTACACATAACTCAGGATTTTGTTAAAACCTAAATATATAAATGAAGGTGATTTTCAAATAACCTCCAGATGTTAGAAGTGAACCAGGTAGAAGAATAGAGTAAGGTGCTGATGGAGCTGAGAAATGCATGAAATGCACTACTCTGGAGGTGCAGCTGTGCAACTGCTGCATACTTAACTGCTGCCCAAACAGAAACATGTACAACCTAAAAAGCATCTGTTAAAGATGCCTGTAAAAGTGGAATTTTCTCTGAAAATCCTGATATTTATATCTCTATTCAAGAACATCTGTAAAGTCCAAAGAATTATTTTTTCTAAGCACATAAGACTTTTAAAATAATGTCCTTCCATGAGGGGTGGGTTTTACAGAGAACATTGTGCTGATTTTAGATTACTGCACACTGCTGTCATCAGCTAAATGTCCCCTCTGACTTCACCCAGCTCACGGCAGCATCAGGCCTTTCTGAAGATGGAAAGACCTTTCTTCTTTTTTCTCTCTAGAACAATGAGATATTATTATCCTTACTAGCTGGAAAGAATGTGTATGCAGCAGCACCCTGAGGACAAGAGATAATGAGGTATTCCCTGGCTTGTCCTGGGGTGGTGACTTTAAAATAATTTCAGTGAAGAGAATTAAAGGTAGATTTCTTTAGACGTGTTTGATGACCTAAAGGGGACAGTGTTTAGTACTGAGCCAAACATCCTCAGAAAACAGAGTACTTGAGATTGAAGAATGAGCTGCACTGTTGAGAAGCTGAAGTCCAACAAACATTATTTGACACTGGTGAATTTTGGATAAGACCCTCAATTAACAGAATATGATCCTTCTTGGTGGAGCTTGATAGTGTAAAAAAAGTAATAGGGCAAGATCTGTCTTTGGCTGAGATATTTGCATGCATCTACTCTGAGTAAGAATCCACTGTCAGAATAAATAGACTAAATCTAATATTAATTACAGGAAAAAGTTTGCATATTATACAATACAATAATATTTCTTAGAACTCTGAAAAAGAAATGCTGGAATGAGCTCTTAAAACCTGATTTAAATAAATTACAGAAACTTTCATTTGAAGTGGAACAGCCTCTGGGTTTCCTGCATTTTCTGCAAGGCTGGATTAAGGCAATGTGGAAAACAGAAAAATAATATGCAGAGATTAAATCTGCAAAGTATTTTTTTAAAAATCAAAGTAATTTTCCCATATTTTCTCAATTTTATATCCAGATCTCTTTTCTAAAATCTGCAACTCAGAGTCATAACATTTTAAAGCTTGGTGGTCCAGTCCAGTCCAAAATCTGTTTCAGCAGCCCCACTCAAACAGTAATAGATATGAATTTAATAATAGAGCACAAATAAGAGAAAAAGAATTGTAACTTTATTGACTACCATCCAAAGCAGTGTTGTTAAGACTATTAAAAAGTAACTCTTCTTCAGTAAGAGTTTGGTTTGATTTTGTCTAACTCACAGTATTTAGTAAAGGTGGAAAGGCTGCCGTGTCACTGTTCAAGTGTCAGGAATAGTCAACACTATGGGCACTCCCATCAAAGAAAAGGGGAGTCCCAGTACTGATAGTCAGCCTGAGGCAATCAATATGACTGCTAGAATAAGAAGAAAACCCCAGTGATTGGTAAATTAATCAGCTGGAAATCTCCAGCACCATTTTCTAGAATGTGGTGCAGGCTAAGCCACCAGTCAGGGACCAGTCACCCCAGCTGCCTGAATACCAGAAGCACCAGAGACTGGCTGTGTGGAGATGCTTATTCTCAAAAATTTTCTTTCAGACAAGAATCATCCTTCTGAATTGGTGTGCTTGGTTTCTGAGGATGAAAAGACCGGGGGAAGATAAAGTGCGTCCTGCCTGCCAACATAAACAGCGTCGCTGCAGCCTGTCCAGTGTGGAGATGAACACTGTGAGTGGCCAGCAATCCAGCAATGGGAATATGCTGTACATTGGCTTCAGGGGGCTGGAAGGGGTTCACTGCACACCCACCACTGATTCCGGTGTGATCTGTGGGAGGATGACCTGCTCACCAACAGATGAAGAAAACCTGCTGCACAGTGGCCACCCCTCTGAAGGTGACCCAGATTTGGCTAAGATTTTGGAAGAGGTCAGGTACATTGCAAACCGATTCAGAGACCAGGATGAAGAGGAAGCCATTTGCAATGAATGGAAATTTGCAGCCTCTGTAGTGGATCGGCTCTGTTTGATGGCCTTCTCAGTATTCACAATCATTTGTACAATTGGTATTTTAATGTCAGCACCAAACTTTGTAGAGGCTGTGTCTAAAGATTTTGCTTAACTCCTAACTAAAACCTGCTTCTCTGATTGGTATGTAGCAAATAAGAATGTGGGGTCTTTTGATCGCTTGTTTCTAATCAGTATAATGCTTCTCATTGTCCGCTTTCTTTTGCCCCCCTCTCCCTCTGGTCCTGAGTTCCTTTTAGAAGAATGGAAACCATTTCAGAAGGGAAGCCAAGAGTTTCTCTCTGGGCTGTGTCTGTGTAGCTCCTCTGAGCACTCTTTTGTGGAAAATGCCAAGTGGCTGCAAGTCCCTTCAGAATGACAGGGTATTGAACCACCACCTCTTACACACGTTCAAACTGGCTGTTCCAAAATAAGAGGTAGGCAGTGTCACAAATGGCACTTCTTCTAGACTTTGTTATAAAGGAGAGCACAGTCCATCTTATCTATTTGAATGAGTGATCATAAACACATTTAAGAGAGGATGAAATCCAAATGGCTGCTCAGAGAAAAGGAAGAATGTCGTATGTAGCTCTTCAGCCCCTCACTTGCACCCTGTAACTCCCTCCATGCATTTTTCATACAACATATATGACTTTCAGGACTTTGAATTTGTCTGAGATACCAGAAACCTGAAAGCTGAGAGGACACACCACATAACTTGTCCTTCATATGTTTCTAGATTTGACCTAGAAATTTGGCTTGGACTCTAAAACAGGCTTCACAGTAATTGTTGCAGTTTAGTACTTCTTCCTTCTCCCCAGAAAGGCATTCTTTCAACTAATAATAATTTTAACTATCAAAAAGAAAAATGATTGATATAAGATGCCTTCATCATCACTTGTTTAAAAAAACCCAACCCTCACACTTGTCTCTTTACTGTTAACTGGATTCCAGTGTGGAAAAAGTAACTCAATGTCTTGTACAGGCTTAAGCATAAATGAAGAATCTCAATCAAAAGTAGCCATTAAATCCTGAGATCAAGGTTTTCGTTTGAAAATTAAATGTTTGATCTGTTGTACGCTTGGCCTTTTATATAACTCCTTCTGTTGAGTCACCGTAACATTGTCTTTACAAGAAAATTGCACCTTTTCTGCTCATTCTAACATCAGATGGGTACTAATGAATAATAAAGCTTCTTGCTTCTGATATAAACTATTAATTGTATAAATATATATTTATATATACACACTGCAGATACATCCAAGGAAAGGTAAAAACTTAAATACAAATTTTCCTAAGTCTAGACAGACTTTTGCAAAAGCAAAACTAGTAGTTCAGCACTTTAATTTGGTTCTGAAATTCTCTTGTCAATATATGCTTAGTTTTGATGTCACTTTGATATCTTAATGGAAAGGGCTGAGCTAAGAATACCAGGACCTGAAATTTTGTGTGTACCAAAGAGCTGAGAATTAGTCTCTCACTGGCACACCAGTATTCCTAACCAGTGCTATAAGATGTAAGAGATGTGGGCGAAGGTTAGTTTAGCATTGGTTTCATCCTCTATCCTACAGAATCCAAATTTTTTGGCTGAGGTCTTCACAGACACAAACAGAGGCCTGTTGTTGTACCATGTTTTTACTGTGAAATAAACTCAAGGCCTCAGTTTATCTCTGGATGGATTAAAATAAAGTTGCTGTAATGCTTATCCTCCCTAAGTAACAATTTCCTCCTCAGAGTCTGCTCCCTTGAAAGCAGGAGAATTAAATTTCATGGAAAGCAAGCCCAAAGTCACCCCAGGTACCACCCTTCACCTCATTGAACACCCTGTACAAGCACCTTTGTGCCTGAGATAGGGCAGGAGGAGTGAAAGGCAGGCAGAATATTTCTCAGTTTGTGAATTCTCTTTTCCTGAAGGTGCATTCTGAATCTCACACTTTAAAGACACAAACAAAACATTCAAAACCTTCTTGTAAGTTCATCCTGAAATCATGTGTCAGAATTACTTGTGAAGAAGTTACGTTTTCAGGAACAACTATTAAGAATAAACCATGTAATAATTCCTGCAAGTAGTTTCTAGTTTATAAATCATTTATGGTTGGGAAACTATGAGTGCAAACCCTGAAATGTGAGTTTTGTTCATTTGTGAATAACTGCACATATCATATGGCATGAGCTCCTCTTCTGGGTAATCTTTCTAGGCTAGGCTTCCTGATGTTGATTTGCATTGGTATTTTTCCTGCTGCAAGTACCCCTAAATAGCTATGTAGACTGTTCCATTTAGTCTTTGTAAATTTTGGGGTCCTCTTGGAGAATAGCTTTTCAAAGAAAAATGAAGACTTTTGAGGATTATCTTGCACAATGGAACACAACTATTGCACTCATAGTACATGATGCATGTGATATAGGAAGCATGAGAGTCCCCCTCTTGCCACCAAATCTGTTTACAGTATCTGTGGGAATCATCTTTCTAAATACAAGAGGATGGAGAAAGCAAGCTACAATTTGACAGTAGACTTCATTTTCAGTGACAGACATGCTGACCCTTAAAAACTGGAGAGTTTGGCTTTATGTGAAGTCCCAGCAAGTTGGTAAAACGGTCAGAGAGCTGTGGGTGCTGCTGAAGGGGCTGTGAGACACCAGCATTCTGCCCACACCGCCTTTATCGCTGGCAGGGGCAATGCAAACGCACCAAGGGGACAAGGGAACCCTCATTTTCCTACTGTTGACACAACCTGTAAACATTTGGTAACAAGTTTATTATACATTTTAAATGTAAGAGTGACTCCTCCATCACGTTACTTGGCACCTATAAGTTAAATTTTTCTGTAACTGAGCTGAGCAAAATTGGTATGGTTCTTGTCAACTTGTGTGTGTCTTAAATATATTTGTGTATGCGCTAAACAATATTTTGATCTAAATGCTGTGAAAAAAATATTTATTTACAATTCTGGGCGCAGAGATGGAAATTAAATACTGTATACAGTATGTGTATATAATATTAAAACCTACATATTGATGGTAAAGATCTGTTACAATCGTAAAGAGTCCAGATAGAGAATAGGAAGTGGCTCACCACAACTAAGCTCTGACTTGCCTGACAAATTCAAAAGCTCACTCTAGAGCTCAGGTGTCATGTACAATACTATGTGTGAACAATGTATATTACTTTTTCTGTTTTTATATTGAAATGTATTGAATATTTAAAAGACTTTTTAATATTTAAAAAAATATTATTTAGGTGTTAATGCCAAAAAGGTTCCAAACATAAAATTTTAAAAACTTAGTTTTAAATACAGATAAATTATTTAAAAAATATATAAAATATTAAATTATTTTATATAGGAATTGATAATACTATGTAAGACTTTTTTTAAAGATTTCTTTAAATTCTCTTTACATTCTCTAGCTGCAGGATGTAGTCTCAGTTCACCTGTGACAATTCAATTCTTCACCTTCTTTAACAAGACAAGAAGGTAAACCAAAGCCCCAGATTTTCTCTCCTTTGTTTTCCTATTTTTTACATTAAGAAACATTGCATAAAGGGCATTAAAAAAAGATGTTACATCTGTCAGGTACTGATTGTCATATAAACAACTCAATGCCTTTTCAGTCCAGTACAAATAAAAGACTTAGATCAAGAGACTTTTGATTCTTTTTCATTTTGCTAACATGGAAAAAACTCAAGTGGTGGAAAACATGAATAGCCATAAAAGGAAGAGAGATGCCTATGGTTATGTCAATCTGGGATGACAGTGTTCTTTGATAATTAAATATAAATTCATATCCTCCTGCCAACCAGTCCCACACCAAACATATATTACTTCAGTCTTACATAAGCAATCAAAGTTAACTGAGAAGGACTGATATACCATGTAAATTTTGGACTGGCGTCAATGCCAGTATTAATTTATTTTTTGAAGTTTAACACAGAAGAGAGAAAAAACAAATCCATACCAGCTGAATAAATTGTTGGTTTTGCCAGCTGCAAAGTTTGTGTGTTGGCTATTATTGAAAAAATATCTAATCATCAGAATATGCCTCAGATGCAAGAGGATGTGTCAGTGGAGTTTCTTGCAAAGAGATGAGTTCTCCTGCCCACGTGCTGAAACAGCTTCCTTTCTGTACAACACCCTGCTGAGCATGTGCCAGAAGTAAAAGATCAAGGGTTGCTGAACCCGAGACTTCATTCTCTTCATGCTTCCCTAAGTGAGGAACAGCTGAAGAAGACCAGTTTGGTTCTGGGCAGCACAGGAGTCACACAAGCCTGCAGTTGTCACTGACCCCAGGCTGTCCCTGGGGAAGAGCTGCCAGGGTCATAATGTCAGATACTCAAGTGAGGCTCCTGCTGGTGCTGCTCACTCTGCTGGTGTGCCCCACCCTTCACCAGTGCTGAGGAGCAGGACAATCTGTGTGACATTTACTGTCAGACTTCAACAGGTCCAACAGGTTCAGCTTAACACACACAGGCAGGCTGCTGGCACTGTCCATGAGCCCCCATCACACACACTCCAGCTCAGAAGCCTCTGAGGGGGGATTAAAATCAGAGCACTGTGTGCTCCTGCTCTCAGGCATCTGGGTGCTTCAGATGCAGCCTGAGAGCTGCTGGGGTTTAGGAGCTTTCTCATGGGCAGACCCAATGCCACTGCCCTCCGGGTGGCAATGGCCATCAGAGCACTGGGGCTTGTGGCCATAGAGATTAACAGTACCAGCCACCCAGCTGTAATCCTCAGTGCATCGGGGTTTATTCAAGAACACTGATTTGTTAGCCCAACCTCATCTTAAAAAGTCAGTAAATCTTACAAGGCTGTGAACAAAATCTTCACATTGACCTGGTAATCCAGCAGGATCTCAATAGCACTACAACCACAAATGAAAGCCTTCTACTGTTTTCGTTTTTGGTTTTTTTTTTTAAATTACATTGTTCCTGCTGCTTAAGAGAAAACCTTAGCATTTATGTAACACTGATTTATGCTATTAAGCAATTTGAGCAATTTTCAGATGATGGCATAGAGAGAGAATAAACAACAATCTCTCACGTCCCAGTGAACACATTCAAAACTGCAATATTCACAGAAAATGAAAGTATTCTGAAGTAGTCTGAAACAGCATCAGTCTAAAGATGTAACAAGTAAATCACTGGGCTTTCAGAGCTGCAGTGTCTTGTCCATGTAATGATGCTATACAGGAATAACAGTTTAAACTTCAAATTTGAGCTGTCTACTTATTTTTATCTCTAAAACCCCCAACAAAACCAAAACCCAGCAGGAATTTAACAATTAACATGATATAATGCTACTCTGGCAAATGTGTACATTAGAGTAACATCTATAGAGGCTTTCCTCTTAGCTAAGCAATTAAGGATATAACCCAATGCCTCAGTGCCTATACAAGGCAGAGAAATCTTTCTACTGAGCCTGAAATTCTGGGATCAAGACCACATTCAATCCAGCAAACCTCACAGTTCTCACTTATGTATTAGTCTGGTTCATGGTAGGTAGGTGACTGAATAAGCCAAATATTAAATATTTATATTAAATTGATTTTAGACTAAAAAAAATAATCTGCATTCCAGAGCAGGATATATGCACAACATCCCTAAGACAATATTATCTTATCTCTCAGTGTACATGTATTACATACAGCTGTGAAATATTTCAATAATAACTTTCGTTCCTATAAAAGAATTCCGGTTTGAGATTGCTGCTCCCTGTCCTTCTGAATTCTGGCCACATGAAACCTAATCAGCAAACTGTTTTGATCAGAAGAAATGTTACAGGACTGACATTCAGAAATCCTGTGTAAGTTTAACACTCTGTCATCACAAATCTGATGTTATTGTGCCAAGTTGTGTCAGAAGGAAGATGCTCCAATGGGAAGTTCCTGGGCAGTAAGGACAGCCTTCCCAGATGGAGCAGAGCAGTGGCTGGGCACAGCAGGGCAAAGCAGCCTCCCCCATCCCTCTGTGGGGCATGGAAAGTAAGTTCTCCTGGTTCTTCTATGCTCTATGAGGATACAGTGAGTATATGCTGCCTTTACTTATCAGCTAGCAAGATTTTATTTATTTTGATGAGGTAACAATGTAAAATACTTAGGAATTACAGGTTGCAATACTCAGATCAGTTGGTCTTTTCTTAAGACCATCAGAAACTGTCTTAAACTGGACTAAGCTGGAACCAGGTTAACAATAAGGACAGTGGTTGCAGTTCTCTCTTTGCTGAGCACTTTTAAACCTATAGAAGTTAAATCTGCTGCATCTTCCTGTTTGCAGTTAGCAAAGTGGTAAGATTGCTTAAGGATACTTTACACTTTTGCACTGTCCATATTGTTTATTAGAAACAAGGACAAGAAGCCAAAGCATTGTACCTTTAAAAATAAACTGTGAAAGATTAAAAGGGCATATGAAGAACTGGAGGCAGGTTTGATATTATCGTCAGCAGAGAGATGTGACATGCCATCAGTACCACACCTGCACCCCAAAGCCCAGAAAGCAGCAGAGTCTCTTTGGCCACCAGCAGCTGAGCCTGTGCTGTTTGTGCCAGCTGGGGCTGAGAGGGGACATGTCCACACTGACTGGGGACAGAGCAGTCACAGAGGACCAGCCTTCAGTCTGGGTCCTTAACATACCCATGCCTCATTTGTGATGACTGCACTTCATTTGATGACACACAGAGGTGCAGGTCTAGAGCTGGTCATGCCTTGAAGCACCTTTTATCTAACTCAGAGAACTCCTCATTGTCCTCCCCCTGTTTCTACATACACATATAAAGTCTGGTCCTCCAGGGGAAGAGGGTTGATATCAAGCACATTCAAAGACTTAAATAAACTTCTGCAAAATATTTGGGAAGAATCTATGCAGAGGAAATCTCTGTGTTAGCTCAAAGCCAGCATGGTTTCTGTTGCTAAAAATATACTGGAATTCCTAGTTTTCCAGTAGGTTTCAGTTGCAGTAATATGCCAGGGCTTTTATTATGCCAGCTGATAATGGAATGGGGGTAGCAACCTTCTTGCTGAAATTTTGAAGCAATCTGTGTGGGTCAAATGAGGTATAAGTGAAAACTCCTACAGCCAGAATAGCTTTTACCAAGCACATTCCAGCCTGTTTCTTAAAAAAGCTCACTATTCTTTGCAATCATTTAATGGCTTGCTCCCTGCACCTAACAGAAACCAACCCATAATGAGTGGCACTGCAGACATCTGAAGCGCCAGCCGCAGCTCTGAGAGACTGGATCTGTGCCCATTTATTTTCTCACTCGCTTTTCCTGGTGCACGAGAAAATATCCTGTGTACTTGGAGCAATAAACTGGCACAGTGCAAATTCTGCCATTTGTGTCTCCGTACACTGGCTTTATCATTTTAACAGTAATCCTACATCAGTATAAATGACAAGAGACTTAGCCTGGTATTATATACAAAACACATCTTCATTTTGAAACTTGTGCAAGTTCAAAACCTGTCCCTAGCTCCAAAGACCCAAAGAAGAGAGGTATCATGTCTCTGCATGGCAGACAGAGTAATAACAGCAACAGAAAAAATGTTTTCTCCAAGATAAACAATGCCAGAACCTTTTGCATAAAACCAGTATTTGTCATCTTCTATATATAAACCTTATTTCAACCACTTGGGGTCAGAAATATCTTCATTTACATACCAATTCTTTGACATTTCAGAGATGGCTCTTTTCATATCTCAACTTTCTCATTAGTACGCAATGTGTTTGGTCAAAGAGCTTTCATTACTGACAACTTTCATACAGGGTCTTTTCCTCCATAAGGGTGGGGAATGTTTTCTCTTGAACAGAATTATTACAGAAACTTCAATAGTCCTATTGCGCCACAAACTGCATGACTGATTTGGAAAAATAATCTGAATTGGGGAGCACAATGAGGTTACAGGTACTCCTGTACTTTTCTCAGACAGCAGCAGCATCGATTTTCCCCTTCACCTGACAAAAATAAAACAACAACTCACTCTTTCTTCATTTACCTGACATGCGTATGGTCCATGCTCTGCTCAACTGTGGTTGCAGGAGTGAATGCCAGAGATTCTAGTACAAAGTGTAATTATTTTTACAGTTTTTTTTTAGGTTTTAACTGTCCTTTAGCCTAAATGTTGAAATCACAGAGCAGCTGGAACCCAACATATCTTGAGAGCAGACCAAAGCTAGAAAAATACACACACTTAAAGAAGCTGGTGAAGCAAGATGTATTTTTCAACACCAAAGTAGTTCAAAGGAAACTGTAAAGCAGAAAATTTTCAGTTCCCACACTGCAGAGGACTCAGTTTGCTACTCTGTGACAGAGCAGAGCACGAGCTGTTGCTGATCAGAAAGCTGCCAAAGCAGCGAGTGTGCAAGTGCTGGTCTGTGAGCCTGCACAGGGAGTCAGGCTGCCGCTTGCTACCAGCCAACAACCCACAAGGAGCAGGAAAAGACTCAGCACGACTTCAGTGGAAGCAAAACTCTGCAGGAAGGAAGCGTGCCCTTAGACAGACAGCAGGTCCCTGTGTTAAATGGGTTCTATCAAAAGTTCAGAATACTAAGAAGACCAAAAGTTTACCAAAACTGATGTCCAAATATGGGCGACACTTTCAAGAGCACATGATGGATTTCTAGATCCCAATACTTTTCCAGGAGTTTGTCCAAGTAGGAAAAAGAAGGGAAGAAAGGTAATGGAACACAGTAAAGATCCAGAAATTAGCTTTCAGAAACAGATATGCAACCTCCTGAAAAATTGCATCTGCAAAAATGTTCAGCCAACAACCTCAATGATCACAGATTGCTGAAGAGTTACAATTGAGCTCGTGAGTAGGATGACAGGCGCACCCCATGAAAACCAGCAAAACATTTTGGGGAAGAATATCCCTCGAATTATCAGGATATCGTCTAGGACTTGATTTGCAATATTTCTTTAAAATACTAGTTAAATAATTTCTTCTTATTTTACTGAAAAGCTTGTCTAAATTGCAAGGCAAACTGACAGGCTTCTGACTCTGCAGAGGTAGCAAGCCAGCACCAAGGAAGATGTCCCTCCTGGAGGATGTGCTCGGGGACTAAAAGTACTACAAGCCTGGGAAATACTGGCTATCACTTTGTAAACAGTTCTTTTCAGTGCTTGTGTTTGGGGAAGAAATTCATCCTGTCCCTCTTTGCAGTCCTGCAGAGAGCACGGACAAGCTCTTTTTGATGATAGCAATTCATCTTCCAACCTGGTGTACTTGTTCTTCCTCCTCTGGCTCCACTGCAATTGATGGACTAATGTGTCCTAACATGGCTTGTAATTACACACAGATTCATAGAAAACCTGCAAATGGTTCCTGGTGGTGTTTACTAGCTCCTCATACTTCCTGCCAGTGAGTCAGTGGCATCTGTATTTAAAAGGGCAGCAGCTGGGCTATCAAACCTCCTACTTTATCTCTGGGGAAACACTTTTAATTTCTGATGAGACTATCCTAACGAAGTAC